GGTCAGCTCTTCCTCTACCGGTCAGCTCTTCCTCTACCGGTCAGCTCTTCCTCTACCGGTCAGCTCTTCCTCTACTAGGAAGTTCTTCCTCTACTGGTCAGCTCTTCTTCTACTGGTCAGCTCTTCCTCTACTGGTCAGCTCTTCCTCTACTAGAAAGTTATTCCTCTACTGGTCAGCTCTTCCTCTACTAGGAAGTTCTTTCTCTACTGGTCAGCTCTTCCTCTACTAGGAAGTTCTTCCTCTAATGGTCAGCTCTTCCTCTACTAGGAAGTTCTTCCTCTAATGGTCAGTTCTTCCTCTACTAGGAAGTTCTTCCTCTACTAGGAAGTTCTTCCTCTACTAGGAAGTTCTTCCTCTACTGGTCAGCTCTTCCTTCACTGGGAAGAACACTGACTTACAGCCAGAGGAGGAGCGTTCAGGTCATGGCTGCATAAAGGAACTTTGGAAGGAATCACATCAGTTATATTCATCATTGGTTTAGCTTACGCTTTTAGGTCAGGATCGCTGTCCTGGTCCAGAGTGACTGGGGGGGCCACCTCCTCCTCTTCCTCACTGCTCAAAGAGATGTCTTTACTGTGGGGCAGGCTCCTGACCTGGGGAAGACTGGTGTCATCAGGATCCAGCTCATCTTGGAAAGCAGAAACCATGGGGTTCCCTCTGCTCTCTCCATCACTGCATCCAAACAAGAACAGGAGGAATGTCCCTTCATCATCATCATCATCATCCTCCTCCTCCTCCTCCTCCACCAAAGGTCTGTTTATCGAGGCCTTCAGCTTTGGTTCAATAAATATCCTGCATGTGTCAAAGACCATCCCTTTGCTGATCAATCCAAACCATCAGCTAACAAAGATGGCCGCTGTCTGCTTCCAGCTGGATTCCCTGACTTCCTGTTGCTTCCAGATGGATTACCTGACTTCCTGTTGCTTCCAGCTGGATTACCTGACTTCCTGTTGCTTCTAGCTGGATTCCCTGACTTCCTGTTGCTTCTGGTTGGATTCCCTGACTTCATGTTGCTTCCGGCTGGATTCCCTGACTTCCTGTTGCCTCCGGCTGGATTCCCTGACTTCCTGTTGCCTCCGGCTGGATTCCCTGACTTCCTGTTGCTTCTGGTTGGATTCCCTGACTTCCTATTGCTTCTGGCTGGATTCCCTGACTTCCTGTTGCTTCTGGTTGGATTCCCTGACTTCCTGTTGCTTCCGGCTGGATTCCCTGACTTCCTGTTGCTTCCGGCCGGATTCCCTGACTTCCTGTTGCTTTCGGCCGGATACCCTGACTTCATGTTGCTTCCGGCTGGATTCCCTGACTTCGTGTTGCTTCCGGCTGGATTCCCTGACTTCCTGTTGCTTCCGGCTGGATTCCCTGACTTCCTGTTGCTTCC